CTGGCTCTGTCTAAAATAACTACCAACACCTCTAAATCTCACTAATTGTATCTTATTTGTTTGATCTATATTTAAACAGTAATCTAAAAACAGCAATGATGAACACTGGGGCTCCGGTCGAATACTTTTTTTGTTGCTTATTCCTAACCGAGTGAAACGACCCGGAAGTACATGTGAATGGCAGACATGATAAGAGCTGGTCAAATTGTCTTAATACTGAGGAAAAGTGCTTCAATGATTCCTTCCTTATGTCCTCATCCTTAATGAAGGAAAATCCCGTCCCACAATTTCCTGTGGCAGCAACATTTAAAGTGAAGTACGTCAGTAATATCCGCTGTCGTAATCATGTAGCCTTGTGTAAGTGCAGTCTGATTGTCTTAGCACCGCGGATGTCTTTTCCTAAGTTTCTCCTTCACATCTTTGACCCCATGACGTTTTCCATTGAGGTCAAAGAAAAGAGGTTGGAAAAAAACATAGGACATAATGTTTTTCACTATTCGACCGAGGCCTGGTTTCTGTGAAGTGCCTTGGCTGGTTGCGTGTAAACCTAAAGGTAAGTACTCCAAGAAGTCAGTGCTCAGCCAAGAAATATGTTACAACACGAAAATCCTTAAAAGACCACAAATTGTGTTTTCCTATCTATAGATTAAACAAACAATATACCACAACTTTTGTACACACAAAAAAATCTCAATGACTATCGGATGGATTAGCATGAAATATTGTCCAGAAATTAATGAATGGACAGCGTTTTCACACATTACAATTTACATATAAAAGACTGAACAAGGCTATCACAGGCGCCTGCTGAGGCCCTAAAACTGACGTTAGGATTTAGCACAAGGAACTGCTAGTGCAGTTTACAGATCCACTTGCATGGCATGGTCTTCCAACTTTGGATGGAGCCAGGCTCACTATTTACCCCTGCTCCCACTGTTTAAGCTAAGATAATTGACAGAAGGGTATCGATCTTCCAATCAAACTGTCTGTGAGAAAGTGCAGAAGTGCATGTTGTAAGATTCCTTGAAAGCTTTATTGTCAAGGAAAGACAGGTATTGGTGAGCATTTCAAAAAGCCCTCCATGCCCTTCCTTTCCATGTTTCTACAGTGAGTAGAGTCCTATTCAGCTGAGGTCATTAATACAGACGCTGGGTTCCACAAGCTAACAAGGCAGTAAATGGGTGCAACAATGGGTCTCTCACAATAGACACAGTATTTCCAAAACCAATACTCTCCAACTCATTCAATGGTGTGTTTTGTGGTCACAGCAGCTCATTGCAGCACTTCACAATATATGCAAAGTAACTAAATCTAAAAAAAAAATGAAAAGACATTATGAGGCCAATTATAAGCTGAATAATACTGTTGAATTAGACAATCTGCAAAGGACCTGTCGCATTGAGCCTTACACACACACGCACACGCACACAATCCACCCATACACAGTTCCAGCTTCCTCTCAATGTGTGAGGTAAACGCCACTCTCACCATGTACCTCTCAAGCCCCAGACGGTAGTGGTTGGTGGCTGAGTCACCGTTTTTCTCTGATGTCACTGCAGACAGAATTGCTAATGAACCAACCAATGACCAACCGGGCTGGTACTGAGGTTGGCTGTCTGCAGGATACAAAATACTCTCTCTTTGCATTACAGCAGTCGTTTGAGTGCTTTGAGTGACTGCATGGCTTCACTAATACAGTTCGAGATAATATAGTCGCTTCCCTGTTCAGATTGCTTGCATCCAATCAAATAAATACATGTATATTTACCATTTACCAAACAAAATGAGTCTATGGATTCTCTATGTTTGAACACTCAGAAATCACTCCTGTGCCAACAAAGAGCTCAAATAAGTTTTTTTTTTCGTGTCTATATAAAGCCAGTCTACAATCAACTCAGCAGTGAATCATGCTGGCTCCCATTTGAAGGGCTCAGAGTCGTGGGTCGTATCCTCTCAGTGTAATGCAGCATCTAAGGGATGTGCTTATGGTCCTGTCTGTCTGTTGACAGGGATGAGGCTGAGAGGTGACGTGCAATGTCACTCTCTATCTTTAGAGTCATCAAGTAACCCGCCAGTTCGCTTTAAGGAAAACCGTCACAGACCTCGATCAGAGTGAGTTTTGTCCTTCTGTTGCAGATTGCATGTTGTATTTCTGTAATTTTTACACAAGAAAATAGAGGACAGACTGTAAGAAAATGATCCCGCTGTACAGACAGTACAAAGAGAAATCCTAAAAACGTATGGTATGAGGTAAAAAATATAAGCGAGGGTGCCAGTGAGCAGCCTTCCCGGTCCACGTTGTGCCTGTTAACCATGAAGAACATTTTGTAACTTGTGACTCAGATCAGTTTGTCAGTCCTGATCCATTAACAAGCAGTGACTGTCATCGTGTTCATGGTCAAAACACCGCTGTGTCTTTTGTTGTTGAGCTGCACAGAACAGGACGGCTGCAGGTTGTTTATCTGTGACAAGTGCTGGATAAATGTGGGAACTCACCATGACAAGTGACTAAAAACACTACAGCGTAGGAGTGCAACTTGCACTCCTAAGAAGGATAAACATAGCAATTTTCTATGGCTAAAAACTCCCCTAAAACACCATAACCTACAATGTATTGATCCTACGAACAAGTATTGCAGTTGTAGTAAATTATTGACAGCAAAATATAAATTGACGCCAGTGTTCAAGAGCTGACAGAAAACAGCAACTTTGGGTGTTTTTGCCTATAAAATATTTTATTCTAAACCTTCTGAAAAGGTCATGATTTGAGGTGACATATAACATATCAACATATTAACATACTGGAAAGAAATGGTTGCCATACTGTTCTCAAAAGCAAAGCCTGCAATCATAGAAACATCTGATCTATAAACACTAGAAGTAATATTTAAAGTGGCATGCAACACTGGTGGAAATCATGTTGATGTCACATGTTTACTAGCACATTTTTACAGATGGGTTTATTGGGAATTTAAACATAGTCTCATTTAAAGATATTTGTCATACCAAAGAAAACAAAATTGATGACCAGTGGCTTCAAGCCAATAGTTGTTTTTACAGCCTACCCAGTGAGCTAATTGAACTCCTTTGCAAACATAAATCACAATGTTCATGAATGTGTTTTCATTTATAATGAGGCTCATCTCTGCCGACATGAATGAATAGTTACATTCAACATGCTTGAACTGGGATATGGATGCAGCCACAGGCTTAATTAAAAAAAGAAAGAAGAGGATGCCCTGCGAAAATGCTGTGGGTGGAAATGAAATTAGTTTTGTCGAATCCCACTGCTGGCGCACATTCACACGTTCATTCATGCACACACATACTTACTGTAAACACAGTCATGCACGGGTATTCCTTACACGTGGCCTAGCATGGGCTGACCTATTACATAATGCTCCATCGACAACACTCCTTGACTTTCTCAGCATTGACTTGTCGCCTCTCAGTTGCTGTCAATCACACGGCCGACTGGGGAGAAAAAGCAATAGGACGACTTCTGGGGGCTTCGCTTTGAGCAGCTGCACTGAGGTTTGGACTGCTTTCCCCCAGGCAACGCAGCATTACTGTACTAGTAGTCTTCCTTTCAGTGTATGCTTTTCAGAAACACAAGAACATAAGGGTTGATGTCATAATGTTTAGAAATCTGACCATGTTTGAAAACGTATTAGTGTGGATGTGTAGCCTTAATAACTGCTAGTTACACACTTGAGTTATGTTGAATCATTTGTATAACGTGTTTTCAAATCTTCAATAGGCAGCCAAGTGTCGGGTCAGATGTGTTGACCATGCATTATTTTAGGTTTTCATCTAATCTAATCGGTTATTTGTTAGCCAGCTAATGTAAGTGTTGTCAGTTAAATCAGTACGTGGGTGTAAATATTTAGTAAAAATCGTGTCTGTTTTGTGTAGCCTGTTTTAATCTAGTGATGTATAAATCTCCATCTAATCATTTAGGTTACAAATAGGCCACGTATTTAAACTTACAAAGAGCTGGTGCAACTGGTTCCTCTAACAGAAAACATACTAATGTCCACAGGATAACCCATACATTATAGACAGTTTGTATAGCAGATAGGCTTGGTTTGCCACATACCTATGTCATACTGTCAGTATGCACACTGTATTGCAAATACATGATAATGCTACAAACTGTAAATAGCACTATCAAATGTGTTGAGAATATTCCAGCATATCCTGCTGGACAAAAGCACTGAATAACACCATAAAACACAATATCCAAAACCATTCAACCTGGAGGGGCCTCTTTAAAACATGAACAAAAATGTATATTCTGTATCAAGAATCAAAGTGAGATATTATGACATTCCTACCATTTTCATAATCTTGAATCAACACCAAATCAGCCAAAGAGAGGCATTGATTTAAAGCAAGGCTTCTATTTCTATGTGATGCAACGCGTATACCTCTAATCTTGATCCTTTAGAAGTATAAAGGATAATGGATCTCATAAAGATAAAGGGATCTCAGCATAATCAGCTAAAGAAATATTCCTGAACTTTGTAGGTAGTGTTGAGAGCTGCAACATAAAAGGCAGTAAGGTAAGGATGCAGTAAGCTTCACAGCCAGAGCTTTCATAGCTACAGTATCATACATGCATTTCCAATTGGAAAAAAAATACAGTGTTGACGCATTTTAAGCGCCATTTTTCAATATCATGAAGAAAAAAAAAACAGATGGTTCAATTCCTAGAAATAACAGAAAGCACTTCTGAAACTTTGATCACACCAAAGACCGGATTCTTCCGTGAGAAAAGCAGGATCTTACTTTGGTATGAGGGAGAAGGAAGTCTGATCAGTGAGCCTGGCACTGTGTGGTTAATGCAACTCTCTCAGCACATTAGGACTGGTAGGAAATGGCTAAATCACAATGGCAGACAAAAGTGGCAATGTCCCAGTTATTAAGAAACAGTTTATCCATGCATACAGTAGAATCCTCTTAAAAAGAGATAAATAAAAATGCCCATGTCCTCTCCATTGATTTGCCTCTTCCTCATACTGCCTTTATTACAACTGTGCTCATATTTAACTAGCATGAGTGGACAGACAGAGCGTAGCTCGGTTCTTCATTTAGTGTGGTTTTCAGAAAGGCACAAGTGGGTTATTCCTTAGGGTGAAGAGCTGAATGTCAGTCATGGAGGAACAAAACAAGTCAACATTCGTCTCGTTAGCGAGGGCAGACTGACAGGCAAATGCAAGGCATATAAATTCATACTGGAAGAAGTGTAAACTGAAAAAAGAAAAAGCCACATTCCTTTCTGTTAGCACAGGACTGCTGCTTCATCAAGAAGAAGAAGAAGTGTTCATTGTTGATTTGGAGTGTTTTTTAGCAATATTGATCCTCTTTATCTGATGCAGATACCAGGTTAATTCAACAAGAGATGAGCACGGATGCATCTATTGCTTTCTAAGTTTGATGAAAGTGTTTATTTATATGTGTTTACAGACTTGCTGTGGGTTATTTGAAGAAGATGTCCGATGCGTGGCTACCTCAATGTGGGCTTTCATTTCCTTCCTGGTCATGAGATAAGTATTTTTAAATTCATGCCTCTGATACAATCATTTGTTTTCCGGTTTTGAGCATGCTTCTGATTTGGCTCAATCACTTTCACAGCTGTCGATCACGTTGGCACGTACACATTGAAAGGAAGTCGTCCTCCCCCATTGAATGAATGGAACCGGTGAGCGAGCACATCCTTAGATTTTGTCTGAGTTTTAATCACGCACATTAAAGTACGCAGCTTGACGACTGTTCTGTGTTTAAGTCCGATTTTCAATCAATGATTGGAGCACAATCCACCTAATGAATGCACGTGGCTACCTTATCACAGATGCCCAATCAATAAGCACAAAAGTGTGTATGAGTTTTAAAGCTCTGTCCGCTACCAGATGTAGTTCACTCAGTTCCCTGAATCCCATTTTTATGCTGCTCCTCATTTGAAATTTTCGATGATGGCAATCTCCCGCCGGTCAGCGTAGTCTGGGCTGAGGCCGTTCAGGTAGAGGCTGCCATTCCTGGCCAGGCCCCCCCTGATAGGACTGAGGGAGAGAGTCAAGTTGGGGTAGGCCTCTCTGTCCTCACACAGGCTGGTGGACAGCGCCCTCTTGCCAGGGGTCAATTCCTGGTTAAGGGACGTGTTAATGCCCAGCTCGGATGACAGCTTGCGCTTGATGGATGCAGCGCGTTGGAACTTGTCATAGATGTCAACGCTGAGTCGCCGCCGGGTCTCTTTGAATTCTGCCGACACGTTTGCTGTCCACTCTGCTGCGTGAGCTCGAAACTCCCCAACCTGCAGAGAGAGAGACTGAATATTAATGTCTGCAGGTGATCAATTAATTCCAATCATGTTGATTTCTTTTGGCTGGATGATTATGAAAATTTGAGCTGTGCTTCAGGAAAGGAACCTTTTTTGTCGCAGATTTTATTTGCCAGGCCTGGGAGTATGAAGGTATATTTGTGTCTTTATTACGCAAACATAAAAAAAGGTTTTAAAAGCAAATTTCTCGCACTGCAATCAAAAATCAAGTTTGTAAGTGAAAATATATAAACTGAGAATAATTTATTTGTTAGTTTTGCTTATGAAACTAGAATTTTTGGTTAAAAAAAAACAACCTTTGGTTAAAAAAAAAAAAAAATCTTTGGTTTCAAAATGAAAAGCTGAGTTGAGTTTGGATGTAGTGGGCGGGGCATACGCTGCTGAATGAACCAGTAGTTCATTGTGTATAATGTGTTTCGACAGGAATCTCCAATTTGAATTAATGGACTTCACTCTTGTGAACATGCCATGTCAACTGTTTCTACTGCTTTTGAACAACTCTTGTTGTTAAAGTCTTGGCTGCTCTCCAGTAAGCAATGCCCATGAAAACACTCTTTAACCTTGCACTATTATTAAATGCTCATCTATCAGAGTGTATATCAGCAGATGTGGAAATTCATAAAAATAAAGTGAAATACCAGATTTGTTTTGGGACAGATGTGATGAGGTTCAGATAGTTATCGGTTACCATTCAGCATCTGATTAAGAGTGAATTAGGAATGATTCTTTAAAGCCATTATTAGACATTTTGGGAAATATGCTTATTCACTTTCTTGCTGAGAGTTGGATGAAAAGATTGATACCACTATCTGGATAATGGACCATTTGTGTTTTTAGGTGCGGACATGTTCGCACCTCACTCACCCATCACCTCACAGATGGAATATTCTAAAATTGACTGCAGGAGCCTCAAGCAGTAAAAACTAAATTTCCATAGTGACCTAATGGACCAGGTTTCTGGAGACGGTGTACTGTGTCTGTTTGGCACATTCTGTTTGTTTATGGTCCTTGAGCAACAGAAAGGAGAGGAACAGCGAGCACATCATTGATCTCGCTTTCATGATGCATTAGGCCTCTTTTTCCAGGCTGTTTCATTATCCATGAGGCTCTGAGGTGTTCTTGTTTAAAGAGACTTGTGAGCACTTCAGTTAAAACTTATGGGATGTGTCTGTATGTGTGCGCAAATTAGGTACCATCAAGTACGTGCTTTCTTTTCCTTCTCTCTTTCTCTGCCCGATTGTTCTCACCCCCTCCCCCATCCCCTTCCCCCAACCGCCAGACCCTTCTCTCTCAATAAGAGTTCACAGCCTCCGCAGCTGAACTCCTAATTATGCCTGTGCAGGGACTCCCACTGCAGATTGCCATATAGGCCCCGTTTTATCTTCTTATGTTTTGTAGAATAAAGAAATAAGATGTGCATGTGGCTGGTGTATGCAAGCGATTGCGTTGGTGCATGGATGTGTGGTTCCCTCCATCCTTTTTACATGTAAATAATGAACCTGCCAGAACGGCAAGCAAATTATTACTCAACAGCAGCCACTGGAAGCACACCAAATATTTAATCCAACGAGATGGCATTTTCCCCACAGGGTGCAGCCAGGATGGAAATGTATCACTCCAGATTGAGGAGTGAACTGTAAAAGGCTTTGGGGTATTAGGCTACATTAACAGAAATCAGAAAAACGCCAGTCCTCCTAATCATTTGAATGTGGGTAGTATATTTGGGCTGTGGCGGTGGCGACCCCAGGGGACGCCAGATGAGGCGTGAGGCGGGCTGGTGAAATCAATTTTAATGTAGCCAGGTCAGATTTGTCAAGCTTTGGGAAAGTTATACGTCCAAAGGTAGTTTTGTGCCCGTAGGCTTGTTAAGTTTAAGCAGAAAGTCTCTGGTGTACTCGATCTTGTTGGATTTAAAGTCAACGTGCCAACAACCAGCCAGGTGAGACCACAGCACCACCGGTACAAACACAGCAGTGTACTCCATGTTACTGAACATTAACATCATTTAACAGCGGTGCGGGTCGATCAACGCCAATAAAACAATGCCAAAAAAGAAACGCATCTTAACGAACGCCATGTAAACTAAACAAACAAAGGATGCCACGCAACTGCACTGCAAAGACAAAAATGTAAATTTCTTCATGACTTTGCACTACTTAATACTTAAGTAAAATATCAACAGAAGAGGTTTCTGCATTATCAGCATTCTTAATCTTGTCACTGTATCTTGTAAAGGGCCAGAGTCTGGTTTTAACACATACATTTGCTGTGTTTTAGTTTTTATTGTACTAACTTGGAGGTTATTCCTTAAAAGTTGTGTGGGGTTATTATTGCCCCGGTGGCACATAAAAATAAATCCAGCATGTTTCAATAGAGATTGTTGATTTAATTAATTTCTCTCATGTTTCATTTTGGTTTCATAATGATTTGATCACTTAACATTTGAGCATCACAAAAAAACACATGTTATGCTAATATTTGAGAAAAAGCTTTTTCTTTTTATATTTTCTTTCTTATATCTTTAGAATAATTGCAGTTTGGGCAGTGCCAACAACAAGCTTAGTTCATCTGTGTGAGACTTTATGAGTCCCTTTAAAGTCACTTTCTTTATCTTTTTATTCAATTACGGTGACACGTTTAGTGACTCATGGGGCTGTTTCCTGAGAAGTAGTTTGATCACTAAGCAATCAAACTCTTGCAAGTTTGTGAGCCACATGAGGAGACACAGCTCTGTGCTTGTCAGGTTGGTTGAAACAGTGATTTTGGACTAAAATATTTTTGGTCTTTGGGAAAAAATGTAGTTTATCTGGACAACTGGATTCTTGATTAATTAAAAAAATGTAGCAGGCAACCCTCGTCTACCATAATCCTCTCCACTTTTCTGTGAAAATCCTCTGAAGTGAAATTCAATGTTTCCTCCTTTACAGGAGAGATCTCCCACTTGTATCCCCTCTGGTGTTGCATAACTCACAGCACATTTGCACATACCTCCTCTTTAGTTTTCTTGGAGATGACCCGGAACCAGTCTCCAATCATACTGAGCACAGCGGCAAAGTACGCCAGGCCCACCAGGATCCAGAACAAAACCACAGGCTTGTAGTAGTTCAGAAACTCTGGATTCTCTGACCCACCTGCAGAACCAAAGATACAACAAGTGGGTTATACGAGTCTGTTACACAACCCTTGGTTACATGTGGTACTTAAATGAATCATTCTGCGAGGAAGAAGAAAAACAAGCAGGTTTGGCTGAAGTGTAAGTAAGCCTGATGCAGTGAGGTGAGTAAAATGAGTATTTAACTTTCACCCTTGTATCATTTAATGAGCCTCGGTTGTAGAGAGTAGCCATTTCTCTCTGCTGTAGTGTTGCCTTTAATTGCCCTGGGCTTTGACTCAACCCTGAGTGGACCATTATATAAGAACATATAGAATATAAAGAGGGAGGCGATTGAGACTGATAAGTAAGGATAAAATGGCATAAATTAAGTAAAACATTCAGAGACTGTTATCTTTTCCAATAAATCCATTTGTGTGATCTTAGTGCTCTAATAAGATATATTAGAAGCTATTTATATATATTTTAAGCTATAATAGATATTGTTCATTGAGCAACATTAAACAAAACAGTAAAATATGAACTTGGATACAAATACAGTGGTACAGTAGTAATACAGATATTTGTAACACGGCTGATACGGCTCTTGAGGTCCTACTGGATGCTTGTTATATCAGCTGCATGGACTTACTGTGCCTTACCGTAATAACATATGTCCTATCCACATGTAAACACTACCTTCAGTTGTAGATAACCAGCCGTTACAGCATCTGCTTCCCAAACAGGCTTACTTTATGCCACCTGTGCCAACTCCAGTAGCCACAGTAGTCTAATCTATAATCATTAGGACCGCTCAGTTAAGTTTAATCGAGCAGCTAATTGTTTGGGATTTTTCCCATCCCTGCCGTGTTGTTTGTCGGGCCGGTCAAATTAAGCAAATACCACCTGCCGAACTATTGTTTAAATTGTTTGGCACCTGTTTGGCAGGGGATGGCTCAGATAAAAAAGGAAGAATTTATAGTATTCATTTAAGAGTTATTTGCCTAAGATCATTATTATTGTTGTTAGCATGTTGATTTAAAGTGCTATTATGAGAGTGAGTAAAACATATGTTTGAGGTATTTCTTTGGCAGTAGTGAGTATATACATTTCTGGTTCAACAGATGGGAGAACTAAACATATTGCAGGGATTTAGGTGCATTTAAAAAAACTGTCACAGAACACATGTATCACAATGTGAAGAGAATATAGCAGGCCAAGGGTTGTTGAGCCAGACTGGCTGAGGAATAACTCAATTATAAATGCATTGATTCTAAACTAGCTGAAAGAAGGCCTATAAATCCAAAAGAAAATCAACCTTTTTCACCGGCTACAAAGTCCCCAAAACCGATCGTGGTGAGGGTAATGACGACAAAGTAGATGGACTCGAGCGTGCTCCAGCCCTCTATGTGCTTGAAGATGACGACTGGCAGAGCCACGAAGATGAGGCACCCGAACAGGATGAAGATCAGCGTGGAGATGACGCGGATCTTCGTCTGGCTGACTTTCCACTTCTGGTGAGAGATAAAAGATTTGTTGGTAAAGAGAATGGATGATTACCACATACAGAAACATGACATGCTCAGCAGGAGACCTGAAGAGTGCAGGTTGGTGGTTTCGTCTGTCCATGCAATGTAATTAGTGGTGTAATATAGTTTGTTATAGTTTTAGTCTACAGGTATAAGCTATTTGGACATGCGGCCCACTTCCCAGTCCCTCATATCCTACAGGCTTTTGCTTTTATTTCTTTTGCTTGCTCCACATTGTGATAAGTCACTTCCTTCGACCTCCTTCTAGGGGATACATTTTACTGTTTTCTAACATCTTAAACGTCTGCTAAGCTCATGTGACGTAACTTTTGCTGTCAGATGGCACGCCCACCCGAGTGGCGGAGAGGTGGCAAGTGACTTGACATGCCTCGCATGTGCTGTAATATTGATAGATCTCATCAAATATTTCACATGCCGTCACAGTAGCAGTTACTGTAACGGATTCATTGCAGTTACAGCCTGTGCTATCACTATGAGAATTTAAATTCCACAGCCCCTCTTTTGCATCACAGTTAGAACGTCAGGTTCTATTCGGCATGTTGCTGTTGTCTCTGCTTCCATTTTACTAGAGGTGACTGCTTTCAGCTGGTTCCCTGTGCACCGTGCCCTTTTCCCTTCCAGTTATGTAAGCTCACAGCACAGTGCCTCTGGGGGGGGGGGGGAAGCATGGAGAGCAGGCAGACCTCAGATCGCTCAGTCTGTGATGTCTAATGTCCTCGCTGCTCAAAGCAAAGTGCAGTACAGTGGTATACAGTTTGAAGAGACCTACAGTGAGCCTTACAGGAGCAAATTAGCTGAAGACAAAGTATTAATAAGAATCACCTTTATTGGTGAAGTTTGTGTGCAAACACAAGGAATTTAACATCTAGGGTCAAGGCCAACAAAGATGAAAAAATAAAGGTAACGAATAGACCTTTTGTATACACAAGTAGTTAAGATAGTGCAAAGGGATTTGTGAAGCTGAGGTGATTTCTCAGCCAGCATCTTTAATGCACAGCAGCTGCAGGCACTGCTTTCAGTCTCTCTATTTCCAGTGTTTCCAGCAAGCTGCCAACCTGTTTTCTTCTCCCCAAAGACGGTAGACACGGAGCCAGCGATGAATCAATAGTCACAATCAACCTGTTGCTATCAAGTATCCCGTGTTTTGAAAAAATGCTTGGTTTGTGCTTTTATACAAAAAAAGGGAAATCAGAGATTGCTTTTAGTGGCCATTAATTAGCATTTGATCCAACTTTCATCACAGCAGTGCTGGTGTTGCAGCCCTGCATCCATCAATATGTGTGCGAACTGCAGACACGACTGCATGCGGATACAAAAGAGCATTCTGTGAAAATGAGCTCTGGTAGAAATATTAAATGGTTTGGGGATTCTCCATTCTTTCATTCTATTCTTCATTTTCTCCTGCCCACATCTGCATAACACTGTTTCCTAGAAATGATGTTTATAATAGCTATAACAGCAAAAAGGGAAACAAAATGCCACCCAGGTATTTATCAACGTAATTAGGAAGCACTATTAATTACCATATCTGGCATGTCACACAATGTTGATACTGATCAGTGAAATGATCACCGATAAAGCACCTAAAATATCTGCTCTTGCAAAACAATATCAGCTCACAGCAACAAAAGCATTATTGAAACGGTTTTGTTTCGGCACTCGTAGCACTCGATTAACGTTAGGAGAGTCGTGGGTTTGGTTAAATATTGAAAAAGTTAGAGACTTGTTCACTTTATTACCATTATATCCAAAACATACATTTCAAAATGCAACACAAGTGGCTTTGTTGGCTAAACATCAGTCTCTCTATCCGATCTGATCACAGCATGGCATTGGGGGACTGCGTCATCAGGGACGTAAAGACAGCTGATTGAGACCACAACAACCCCCGCTGGCAGCCTGAACTGTTTCATATCACAGAGAGTCTGCTTTGGAAAAAGAGTTTCACTCTCGAGGTCCACCGTCCCATTAGGTAATGCTATTAGCTGGTTGCTATGACTCCCCAGTCAACATACTGCATATGGGTGAGCGAGTGCATCGACATTAACAGCTACTCACCACCCAATTAACTCTTCACAACCATGTAAAGAAAATGATGTGTAACTGCAAGCTTCTGTGCTGTTTTTCTTCATCAAAAAGCTCATTTGGTATATTTTCTCTTTGCTCACTTCAGGAGAAAACCCTATAACTGTATAACACAATTACATCATACGCCCCCACACACATCTTCCCCATTGTAACGATGTGCATTCATACACCTTTGAAAAAAACACATTTTCCTTCATTGAACTTGGGATCTTATATTTCATCTATTTATCTAACACCTGCAACATGGTTTAATAATGTCATTTTTAATTATACTTGTTTCTATATTTGCATTTAAAGTATTTTTCTTTGTCTCCTTTACTTTGTATTACATTCATCTTCTCCTATTACTGACTCTGACTCTTATTATTCAATATTATATTTCCAGTGATCATTAAGCTGCACAGTCCTTTTGTTAAATGATGTAGTTCATAAAAAGAACACGTGGTTCTGGTACAGGGACGAGTAAAAAATAAATGACAGATTTCAATTTTTACTTTGAACAGATAAAATAAACTGCTCAGTTTTTCAAACCCTTCATTTTCCAGGAGAAACATAGTGAGCAGCCATCAGCCAGACAGTCCAGCAGAGTCCATTATTTTCTCTGCGTCACACACTTGACTAATCGTGCGGTCTAACTGCTGGCAGAACTGTTACCAGCGTTTGTTTGCGTGCATGCGCACACTGTGTGCTTGACAGAATCAATAGTCAATGTGTCAATACCATCAATATTTAAAAAGTGATCGATTTGTTTGCTGCTAGTTTTATTCTGCCATGAGCAAGAAATAAGATAGAAACTTTTGAAATATTGCTCTAAAGAAACCTGCTATTTACTGTTCTGGGATTTCAGCACTAAAACAAACTGCCTGCATTTTATATTGGCTTCAAAGAAAGTCTGTTGACATGGCAACCCAAAAACTGCATTCACTTTTTCCACAGTGTTGAGCACTGACTGCTGGTGTCTGAGAGGAAAAAAAGTCAAATTCTGCACTGTTGACTGTGAGCTTTCAGCTGTATTGTTTAGGGGTGTTTATGTTGCACCGTTAACACTTAGATATTGCACCTCTTTATAGGAGCTGCTCAGGCAACATCAATTTACAGCTTTGGTAATTACGTCATCAAACGTTGGCTCACTGCACACGTGTAAACATACAGAGTGCAAATGATTCAGAGACAAAGACAAGCTCGTACAGACGACGGCGCTCACCACAATCATCTTCTCTACTTTGGCGATGCCCTTGCCAAAAATGGTCCCCAACTGGTCCCCGACACCAGCCAATAAGAATCCGAATAGGGGAATCCCAAGCAGAGCGTAGATTATACAGAAGATCCGCCCGCCTTCCGTGTGAGGAGAAATGTTCCCAAATCCTGACAGAGAGGAGACACGGATAGTTCATTAGCTCATCAGGCAGCATTTCATTCAAAATGTCAGTTTAAATTAGCTCTAACATAGCAAGGTAGTGTGTGTGTTGTTGCCCTTTGAACAGGACATTGTATACTCTGGTAATACTTATTTCAAAGTTTGTATGACACTTCTGGGGCTGTCATATTTCCTAATTGTTAAGTGTTGATACTATTTTATGGAAGTAAATACGTTTTAATGTAGGATTTGTACACTTTTCTATAAAAAAAGATGCTCTGTGTGCTTGTTTTATTTCAGAACTGTATGTGTTGCACCTCTCTGCTTAGAAGGTATTCTGTATCTTATAAGTGTACATATTTCATCAAAACTGTCAGAAGAAGAAAAATGAGTTTAAAGTAAACTGTCTGGACAGCAAAGCTTTCCACAAAGCCTGACTGTGCTGTAACATCACTGCAGACAGTTGCAGCACAACAGCTTTGAGACATGTCGGTAGTAAGAGACGGAAGTCGTGCTGAAGCACCGACTCGGACTACAGTTTATAATTCACAACCTCAGTCCTCGAGCAACTCTGACGAAAATGAAATGAACAGTAGAAATAAAGATACATAGTACGCTGTACGTAGGCCTTCGTATGTACACACACAGACTCACAGACACACACACACTAATGTGAGTCCATCACTGGTTCACTGCCTTTCATCTTCTCTCCAAACTCATCATCATGTGCAGCTAGAAAAGCAGATGGTGCTTTGAGAAGTTGATATCTGACCAACACCTTTAAGCCCTGTGCCTTATTTTAAGCTGACCTCACTCATTCAACAATGTGACTTTCATTATTTGAAGTTTCATAATGGTTCTGCATAATGAACTACATCCACTTTTCCTTTATTAATACAGTCATCTGTGTCAGGATACGAGCTGCAGGGTACCCTCTAATGACTTTCTACTCTCACAATGGAGTAGGGTTGTCAATCAAGTCTCACCAATTTCATGATTAGTTCAATGGGAGACAGGATGCCCTGTTAGTATTTAAAACCTCTGGGTGTCCCTGCATAACAAACGAGACACAGCGGCTCCCTAATTTGAAGCTGAACTCACTTCCTCTTTCTTTTTTACCTGAATTAAACAGACTTATTCTTGTCTTTATTCTCACCTTATATTTGAATGCTATCACAATATTTACGCAAGCTCAAAGATTTGAGAGTCAAGCACTAGAATAAAAAAATGATGGCTTTCAGAGAAAATACACTGTCCTTGTATTCAAATGGGATAAAAATACCAACAACAAAAACATAGATTTCAGCACTAAAACATTGGTGAAATGTTATAAATTGAGAAGAAGGTGCATTTCTATATGTAACATGAATTCAAAAAAATTGATTTCAGCATTTAGATGATATATATTTAACTAAAATTGATGTTAAAACTAACACTTTCTGATCATGTTTCTAATACACGACCTAAATTACAGGCTAATTCAGTTAAATACCAATAAGTCGTTTAATTAATTTCACAATTGGACTTCATTGCCTGCTTGAATAATTCATTAAACTTAAGATTTCCACTCTATAATGAGCTAAAGCCTGGAAATGGACCAACCTATTTGTCATTATGGGCCCTAAACCACTGCATTCGTGACACCACTGACTCGGTTATGTAATGATCACATGCAGCAAAGCGTCACGCTCCGTCTCCTACAGGAACGAATGCAATTGCAATGAAAGCTCAATGACTTCCTTCCAAGTGATGCTAGGAGAGAAAACGGCAGCACAACATTTCACTGACTTTATTAGCTTCTGACAACAACACTGTTGCTTTTGTGGATCATTTAATTACGAAAAAAGACATGAAACCCTGTCGAGGGGTTTGGTTGGTATTAAAGTGAGCTTATTGGGGAAACACTGTCTCGTTGTTGTCACTATAACTATACTCATATTTCCCATTTCCCTTTCAGAATCAAAAAGAAAGAGTAACAAATAGATCAAGGATTAATCTCACTTATTCCGAAACCTAAAAAGGAAGTACTGCTTATTGATAGTTGGTTTCCTTTTTGTATGCTGAATAACGATTACAAGGCGTTGGCAGTTGCTTCTGGCAAACGGCTGAAATTAGTTTTGGATCCTATCGATGACGAATCACAATCTGGATTCATGAGAAATAGGCACATATTTGATCGACAATACAACGCAATGATCCTCTTTTTGGATTCGTACAAAGCTTGTGACGCGGTTGAACAATTTATTTTCAATTCACTAGAAACATATTCAACATTATTTTAGCAAAGCAATTCGAACTTGGTATGCCACTAGCAATAGCTCTATTAAAGTAAACCCTGGCACAACTCCATGATTTGATATTAAACTGGGGATCAGACAGGGTTGCCTGACTTCTCCCTACCTGTTCCTCCTCATCACGCAGCCTTTAACCAATCATATCTACACAAGAAATTGTCATTAGCCAGCTATGAGATGACACCACTCTCTCTTTCCAAAAGATTCTGCTCGGGTATCTTGAGCTTTAGATATAATACATGTATTCTGTAAGGCTTCTTATATATATATATATATATATATATGTGTGTGTGTGAATTATTGGCAGTGAAAGACTGGCAATCGCTCAATTTGCAAACATTCTTGTCAAAGATAGAATGACATGGTAAGTACTTTAAATTCAACCATAGAAAAAGCACAAAGGAAATATAATGAGTGGCTTCTAAGGGATCTGTCTTTAAAAGGTAGAACTGTAATAATAAAAGCAGAGGGCATGTCTAGGTTTACCTATGCTGCTTTACTATTTGATAATAAAACAATTAAAGACATAAAACACATTACATTAAAAAAACCCATCATGAATACATAGGAGAATGGGGGCCTCAACTTCTTTGGATAAAGCAGTTCTTTAAAAAAAAGACAAGTTCAATTGTTTTTCAAATCATATTTTCTGAAGTTGTCTAAATTCCACAAACATTGCTGCTTGTATGGTCCATGAGTTCTACATTCATCAATGTAAAGTGAAACCTAATTGTTTGTCTTTAAAAAAGAAACAGAGCTAAATATTACAATGACTTCGGCAAAAAATAAAACAAAAAAGCAAATAAAACTGCTCCCAATGTAATGTTTTATTCAAATTACTATTTATTTATTTGTTTTTTATGTTGAACCCTGGCATGTTTCAAGTTTATTTTATTTTATATGTTTTTACTCTCTTCTTTGTGCCGTTCTCTCCTCCCTTGTGTTTCTTGTTGGTTCTGTGGTTTCTCTCTCTCTCTCTCTCCGTCTGAGTTTGTTTGTCTGGGCGTGGCTCTCCATCACACTCCTGCTGTCAATCAAACTACACACCTGCAATCCATCCACTCATCACCACCTCACCAGTCAGTCAGATTCTTGCTCATCCACCTCCAGCTGAGGGCAAAGCCAGAAGAACAGAAGAAACTGTCTCTTCTCCTTTCGGGACTTTTCGTACAACATCAAAGGCTGATCACTGACAAAGGCATTTCACAGTGGCTTTAGGAATAGCATCTCTGTGCAGCAGCAGTTACATTTTGTACTAATCAGGCAAAATGATGATGATTTCCAACCGCCAGCACAGCAATTATGTGTTTACACCACACATCAAAGGTGATACATGCAAAACACCACCGGGGAGTGAGGTTTCTGCAGCAAAATCAAAGCTTTGGAAACTAGAGCACTCTGCCAAGCACCTTCACCTTACCGCAAGCTTTTCTAGATATTTGAGTTTTTTAAAAAGCAAACAAATCTAAGCCCTCAAAAATAAACTGACTGAAGGCAAAGAGTAATCCTTTTTCCCTGCTTTAGCGATCAAACTACCGCGCCTCCTTTCATGAGAAAACACCACTACATCTTTAAGTCAGACGTCAGCAAATTTGACTTACTCGATGAAGTCCCGGCAGCACCGGAGTGAAAAATAGAAAGTCAACATAGTCAGTCTAAGGTGAGCAAAGGGAAGACCCACAGTGCAACTTTTACTCTTCACACTGTTACCTTTAATGTGATACAAAAGCACAAATACTCTTCAACCAGAGGGCAGAAAGTTATTGTAAGGTTTGAAACATTTTCTGAGTGAGGAACGAACAAGATCCTGGAGAAGTGAAATAAAGCTCAACAGCTGGTCGAACAGACGCGCTTATATGTTGTTGAGGTCTGCTTGAACAAGCTAGATAATACTAGTTGTGTGTGTGTGAGTGTGTGTGTGTGTGTGGGCTGTTGCTGTGGCCAATACAATTTTGCAACTTTGTCGAGCAAGGTTACGAGCACAAGTCAGTACAGCAAAATGTGGAAAAGGAGCTGGAGCCGTGTACAATTCCATGCCAAAATATGCATCGGGATTGCAAACTGCCTACACATTAAGCATGTGTAATCTGAAAAACAAGCAAAATCAATTTATTCAAACTAAAGGCATTAGGTATTGGAGAATGAGCTCTGACAAGATGCTAGAGAAGTGAAATGGAGCCAAACAGCCTACTGAAGGGATGCAGTGATCTGTCTGGGTCCTCTTAGAAGAACCAGAAGGTGTGTGTGTGTGTGTGTGTGTGTGTGTGTGTGTGTGTGTGTGTGCGCGCGCTGTTTTGCTTAACTGATTCGTTTGTTCTTTACAGCTGGAGGTGACAGAGAAAGTGTTACAGGCTGATACAGTTGACATCTCTTAGATTAAATAGTAAGTATATTAGCAGTCTTTGTAAATAAGAGCAAATGACCACAGGCAGCTTATTCTTCTGTATCGTCAGATCAGTTTAAACTCTTTAGGCTACTCTTCCTGTTCAGTTAACCGTTTTTTAGAAAAAAGAGTCCCCATTGAGGAGTTATCTCAGGGAGCTTAAAGTTTACTTGCTGTTGGCTATTGTTTGTCATTTCTAGTAAATATCACACAATAAAACATGCGTTTTGTGTTCAAAATGTAGGCTACAAAAAAAAAGTATCACCTATCTTTTAAGTGGTTAAAGTTACGTCTCCAGTCTGGTCTCGAAGTGCATATTTAACAGATTCAGTGTGGACCGAGAGTGTCCTATGTGATTATAAGTAAATTAATGTTTGTTTATTATTCTGTCAATAAGAAAACACAACATGTACAATATTAAGGAGATCTCATTTTTGTTGTTTTGTATTGCTAAGATAAAAAACATTTGTGCTTTGTTGCTGATGTATAGAGTTTAGTTGTTTGACACTGTGTAAACTTCGGGTGCATGCCAGTGTGTTCAATCTGTTTTGCAATTTTGGTGACTAGTAGACTGAAAGGAATGGCGCAATAAAGTACAATCTAAAAAAAGCAGCTGAAGCAGATTTGGTGTCAGAAAGTGTAATTTTGGTATGCAAGTGCAATTTCCTGCTAAAATTAACACCAAAATTGCACCGTGCCTCTGACAGCTTTGGGATAAATAGACAGTGCTTATAAAGCCAAACACGTTTCCACATATAAAAAGTAAATGTTTTTACATCTGTTTAGTATTTTCAAAGCATTGCACGCAAGTAGAGTGAAGTATAATCGGAGGTTTCTACAAAGAGAAAATAATGAGGACTGAGATGTGTAAGAGTGAGAAACTACGTCTCTTACCGATAGTGGTGATAACGGTCCCCGCGAAGAAAAAGGAGGAACTGATGTCCCAGAGGCTCGTCTGATTGGATGCTTTTCCTGAAGGGTTCACACCTGCTCGCACTGCTGATACCACTTGCTGGAGTGGAAAGAAAAAGAAAAATTTTGCACATAATGCAGAGTCTCCCAGTGGGAGTGTGGTACGAGGTGAGCTGAGGAACAGAAGGAAATTAGCGGTGTGCATAAATTTTCTTGGGGAATAGATGACAGCCTGATACACATTACACCAAAACCCAATTAAGAGTTGAGACAAACAATAAGAGGCATCTGTCACCTTCATAAATGCAGGTTTACATTTTAAACACCTGCTCTCTTTATAAAAGTGCAAAGTCTGTCACAGTTATAGCTAAAATAAGTTGTTTTTTTTAGGGATTGGAGCTTATAAAAGAATAATTTGTGCATATTCTTATACAAACATTTACCAACACATGATTTACACATTCTCAAAATATTTCTACAATTACTACAGTTACACATCACAGTTACATCTACATATTAATCGTTTTTTTCATTCTCTAAAATCCCTTAATTATACATGCGTTGCTGAACTTTATTTTACAAGCTCAAAATCTAGACCCTAATTTTGGCCTGTATATAATGATATATCATAAATCCTATATATATGATTTTGAGTTTGATTTTGATTAACCCCGCGACTGTGGCTATGATGTGACACCAGCTGGGTCAGTGTTATGGCTGTTAATCTTTCCCAGGTGATTGGTTGACTATGTGTACATGTGGGAGAGCACTGGTGTGACACGAATCCCCGCTGACTGTGACAGGCTTTTAGACAGCCGCCGGTTGTAAAGGAAAAGGAACTGTTTTCTCACTCACTGCTGTACTTGCATGACAGGAGACAAGACGGGAGCAGCCACCAGCTGGAGGGAAAACACACCACCGCACACCTTTTCACACCCACCATCACAAAAATAGACGTACGTGAGGAGCAGTGAAGTGAAGAGCCACACACTGACTGATGTGCATCCACACTACAGGTATAGTGGGTTTGTACCATAAACTGTAAATGGATAAAATGAAGTGTGTTCATATGCGTAAAGCTAATAAGTCTGGCTAACTAGCTTACTACCTAGAGTTGTAACTACTGAGCATTACTGCCAAAGCCAAGAGTACATCATGGACAACTAAAGTACATGAATTTGTGGGGTCACAGGTGTAAAAACAACAACAACAACAGCCCTTTATACAACCAGCACATCCACTGTGTATTAGGCTAAATTTAGCAGCTCTGACATGGTCTTTATTGGTTTGGATATGTTGAAACTGGTTACAAGCCTTTTCCCTTGTAATATTAAACGTGAAAACATGGCTTTTGTCTGGGACATTCAGCTTCATCCTCAGTCTCTTCTTGTATTTATACTGCCCAGAACTTCATACACATCAACCGTGCATCATTGATATCGGTGACAAGAGGTGCCTGCGAACGATATTATTAAAACCCCAGCCACAGCCTGTTCAACCTGCTGAGATACAGAAGTAGCGGCTGCTGTACCACCAGACTTCAGAGCAGCTCATTCCTCCTCCAACCTCCAAAATATATTGTTTTTTTTTCTTATGTCGCAAAATGGGACTACAAACTACATTTTGATGCACAATCCTATTGTCCAATGACATAAATAACATTATAACCTTGTTTGTAACCCTTTTGCAAGGTTCTCGTTTGAAAACGGGTCAGTTGGAATCCTTAAGTGTGCCAGATATGTTCAGCTTCATTAGCTATCGAGCTACAGTTGATGAAATGTGTCTGCAACAGTTGTCATCACTAATTGAATTGAACTCTGAAGGCTGTATAAAACCTATCTCACTAGGCTTTTTAAAACAAAATCAGTTCACTGCAGTAAGACAAAATATTCCTTGGCCCAAGTGGCTTCTCAAGATATAGAATAATTACTCGGACAAAAGTAAGAGAAAAGCTTTGAGGTCTTCTGGGAGTAGCAGACACTGCCACAGAGCCGATGATAATAAATCACAGAAGAATACTTTATGGACTAAACCTTTAATTCCACTGTGTATATGTGGGATTTTTGCCAATCGAGAGCAATAAAAATGATTTAATAATTCCTGTGTGGCACAAGGCGACTTGTACTGGGGGGGGGGGGGAGTAGCTCTTTTTGATGATCTCCATTATTTGTATTTAACATCAATACACCTTCAGGAACAGAGCAGTAATGCTACAATAATCTTGTGCAGCATATAACACTGCCCACAGTCCTACTGAAGCAGCACAGTCAGCTATTTCTGTACATGCACACACAGTTTAGGGTCACTGCAATGTCAGGCTGTTGCGATTCATCTTTCCTTAGTGAAACTGAGAGAGCTTTCGTTAACCTTCGACTGTTGACTGTGATGAGGCAGAGCGTGTGAGAGCTGAAATGAATGAATAATGGATAGGAAAGTGAGGGAACAATGTAACGACACGAGTTAACATGTCATGATGTGTCAGAGGGTGGAGAGATATAGGCTGCAGTTGACAAACGCAGCTTAAATGGTTGGTTCACTCAAATTACAAAAGAGCATATTCATATTGGATGATTTTGAACCTTACTTTTGGCCAACGTCAAGTGCCAATGCAGGAAATATTGTGCGATTATTATCAATTGCGAGGTGAAAAGTAAGAGTGCGGAGTTTGCATCCAAGCACAGATCTGAAACTATATCCTTCCTCTTTTTATTAACTAAAACTACGATCTTTCTCTAACCTTGACCATACCATGCACGGATATTGTAAAATGTTTTGCAGGTTCGTCTAACATCAACGTTCTTGTTTGACGATAGGTTTGAAATAACACTAGAGATATCTAGCCATGTAGAGTTTTATTTGTCTAGTTTTTGAAATACCCTCCACAGCAATACAATATAAATGAAAGCACATTTTGTTTATGGTGCTTGAAAATATCAATATAATCTCTTCGCCAATAGTTTTCATAGGGATAGAAAAAAATAAAAAAATACTTTCCATCTTTGGTGAAAACCAAAACTATCGGTATGGATGAATGCCAATGAAAAAAATGATTTCATTTTAAAAACAGATCAAAGGATTATGTGTCACCTAAAGCACGAATTATGCTTCTGTGTTAATACAGGTAGAGTCTTTGCGTAACAGTAGGTCTCAACAGCACATAAATAGATAGTAGTGGTTTGTTTACGTTGTCCCTGCAGTGAAATTGATTTCCATATCTGGATTTTCTTTCGTTTTCGAACAGCTGGGTGAAGCTTAATTCCAGCTTCATGTAAAAGGTAACTTGTAGTGAGGAACTTACAGAGAATAATCATCTGACTCTGCAGGTTCCCTTAGAACTTAAGAGCATTTTAGCTTCGTTCAGCTCATTGTTTGGGTTGTTCAGCCAGCAACTCTTTTGGTTCCCTCTCACCGCTCTCATTGCAGCAGACAAAAATTTAATTTCAGTCAAATCCTTTGATGATCGCACTGCAAACAACCTGCCACGACAGACAGTCAAAATTAGTAAACTATAGTGAAGATTGTAGAGCATTTAGCGGCTAAAGAGCCTGCTATTTCCCTCAGCAGTTGGTTCAACTGTATCACGCAAAAGGCACTTGTAATATATTAAAATTGTGTTAACAGTTTGTTTCTTTGCTCCTTAGTGGAGACTAAAACCCAAACAAAAATAAAGAAACAAAAAACAAAACAATGGATGCATTTTTTAATCGCAGAATGACAAAACCAAAAGGCAAATTGTAATCAACTCATGCATTGACAAATGTATTCACAGACACAATAAACAACATAATGTATAAAGGTGAATTCATCAACAGTTCAGTGTTTTTACCTCTTGTATCTCTATATCATTTCTAAATGCAACAAAAGAGATGGTTCAAAGATACAATTCTGAAACCCTACGTCCACTGTGCTTCTAAAAACACAATTTAACAAATCAAACAATCAGATTGGCTTGGCTCACTCAGCCCCTTTGTTTCCCAGCCAAAGCGGGCACATTAATTCACTGTCTTAGCAAACCAACAATGGCCATGGGAAATGATAAGACAGGATAATGTGAAACCACACTGGTTGTCTCCCAGCTGAGGCAAACAGACAGGAGAGATTGAATCATCTGAGCTTTTTGACATCACTCACTTTTTTAATTACTCCCTCTGAGAGCACATCTCTCCTCAATTCTCTTCTGACTGGCTTTTGATCAGTGGGAGCCTATAATGGTGTGTGTGTGTGTGTGTGTTTGTGAGCGTGTGTGTGTGTGTGTGTGTGTGTGTGTTGCGTACATAATTCAGTAAAAATGAGTGGGGGACACCTGCTTTTATCAATGAATAATCAAAAGAGAGAGTTGTTTGCAAGGCTGCTGAACTCATCAGGGTACTGACTGATGGGCAAATCTGTTTAGTCGGACGGTACAAAGTAGGACTGGTGTTATGTATATACTGCGGTAACAGTATAGAATAATTAGCCTTAAAGCATTAGGAAAACACTAAAGTGATATTAAATGCATCCAACAGGCAAATTTCCCAGCCAATAATTAATTCAGTTCATTTTGTAATTTGTTTCTGAGGTCCAAGACGAAGTAATTTGTTTTTGGAATCTGCAATGAGCCCAGACTGATTCAGTGGAAAGATCAGGGACAGAGGGAGTCATACTTTGCCTAAAAACAAACTGTCATTTGGCTGAAAAGACATTTTTGGGACAGAGGACAGTTTCCCCTCAATTGACTTTTGGTTTTTCTGAAACGGAAGCCTGGAAGGGATTTTGAATGTGAACGAGTAAAGTAGACATGGTTGTTAGCAAAGTTAAATTACAACTTTAGGCTAATACTAAAGGGCATACACTATTGTACATGGGCAGACATGTAATATAATCTTAAAAAGTATGTTTTCCTTAGCGTACAGTATAATCCCCTGTAAATAAGAATCGTTACTGAAGATTGAGTCATTTATAACTGCATACGTTTCTACAATAGCTGAAAACAGACAAATCAAATACTGGCTCTAGAGCGGGCCATTCACGTCAGCCAGCGTACTTCTACAAGCTCGGCAAATGGAAGAAGTTTCAGTTGGTTGCAATCTGCAACCTCAGCGCAAGATGCCACGTATTCCTACACTCTTGACCTTTTAAAAAAAGTCTGATTGGATATCATAGAGAGATAGCGACTCCACTTCAGCACAGCTGGGCTTTGAGCTAAATGCTAGCATGCTAACATGCTCACAATGACAGTAGAATGATGAGCAGCAATAATCATGACACCATATACTTGAAGTATCATTTGCTTTGAAGTATCTACTTCATTTTTTGTATCACTGTACGTGTATGTTTAAGCTAACATAAAATACAAGATCACTATAACAGTCAAACAGACAGATGATAATCTCAGGACAGAAAGCATCATCATCATCTCTGAATATTAACTCAGCTTCTTCAAGTCAAATTAACGCCATCTGTTACCAGCCCTTCTTAATCGAAAACAGTGTCATTTACATACAAGTAGGTGGTAACCATTACTCAAAAATAAATCCTGTCAGCTCTAGTCAGTTTTAATATGTAAGAGACTTGTAGTGATACTGAAGCCAACACAGTGGACAACAACTGCTGAAACTGTTTGAAGGAAACCCAGAAGATGGAAACATTGATACATAATTTAGAGATAACACATTATTTTCCGGATAACGGTGAATATCCATGAACTGCATTTGTCCTGCTCTCCAGTATGTCGTTCATACTGGAGCTCAGAAATGAGAGGACAAAATATTCACATAGTCTCTACCTGGAAAGTCTTTTTATAATTACCAGAAAGCATATGTCACTAAAACAAGAACACTTGCTTGTTACAGTCATGGCTTTCCTTATCCATATCAGTAACTACACAGCTCTGCCGTGAGAAAAACATCTTGAAAGTCAATGTGATTAAAGTGGCTTTACTGTAGTCTGAGATGGCAAAATCCCACACACAGACTCGCTTATTGATTAAAATCCCATCCAATGTTAACAACAGCATTATCATGGTGTGCATTTAGTCCGAAAGGGAAATGTTTTCAGGGAAGTGCTCGTTCTGTTTATTTCATGGGTTTATTCAAAGGCTAAATGTACTAAATGTGCTCTTAAACTTGAGGTTTTCTCATTATTATGAAAATATTTTTGTTTTCAAGAGATCTTTCTCACCTTCTTAGGTCAGGCCTACATTACAAGTAAAACAATGCAAATTCATCTGACATTTGAGTAGCATCGCTTTAAGAAACTACAGGATTCCTTCGATAGTTTCCTTTAATATCCCACACAGTGCACTACAGTACTTTTGAATATTTGTGGAGGGAAATGTAAGTATAGAGAGTAAAACTTTGGAATAAACAAATTCTCCGAATTAAACGTTAGAATACATTGTTTGTAACTGACCTTTAGAATAACATCTGATCATTTTGCTGTGCCTTCAAAAACAAAACAAATCTCTGTTGAAAAATAAATACATTTTAAGATGTGACAACGATATGGTCAAAGGTTTGGTTAGGTTTAGGCACAAAAACAACTACGTTAAGGTTAGGCTTAAAAAATGTCAAGGTTAGCGCACAGAACAAGTTAAGCTAAAGGGCTTTCTGCCAGAAACGGTTTATTTTACCCTAAACATGATCTTTTCCTACCAAGAAGGTTTGTTGCCTAAAGAGATTCCTGGCAGAAAGAAAAACATGTTCCATGTTCTTAAGGTTAGAGGACGTTCATCATCATGATGATGAAAAATACTAAACACGTGCACCGGTTAGGAAAGGATCACGGTCTTGCTGAACAGTTAATCAACAGTGATGTCTCGTGTTCAAAGAGTCCATTCCTCTCTTAAATATCCTCAGGTGAAAGCTCTGGTAGTTTTTACTCAAAATCATTGTGCCATTTCCACAATTCTCAAACAAACATAGTAAAGCTGCCAAATACCAGTAGTAACCTCTGCAGGTATTTAAAAAATATATATGAGAAAAATTTGATTATTGTCGGTCATCGCCAGGTCCTGCAGAAGAGAAAAGATTTTAAATATAAATAGATGTTGATGCTTCCACCTACCTTCACCAAATCCTCCAGCTCAGAGGAGTTCACGCAGGTGTGATTGGCCAAGAATTCCAGTTTTTGTGTTAGAATAGCCAGCTTCTGGGAGCTCTCGTGAGGCTGCTCCAGTGCTTTGAATACCGTCGCCCCAATAATGAGGTAAAGCACCACCAAGAAGAAGATGGCTGACACAGTTTTCCACCTCATGACCATAGTCCGGGTGTCACACTCGTCCTCTGGAGTGTTCAGCACCACTGGATTGACTGAGAATGACAGGCGAGGTTTGGAGTTGTGGGCGGCAGACTTCGGGTCAAGAAGGTCAGGTGCGGCCACTGTGAGGATGGAAGTGATGAATGTGGATCAATTTCTTTCCATTACAAGAGTCTCCCCTTGGACATACTCGTCTTAGTCTAATTCGTCCCATCACTCTGTTTTTATTTCTATCCACCTACATACCTCTCTATCTGTTAGATAAAGACATAAATAACCATCTGGTTCTTACAATGTAAGCGTATGACTGCTAGAAACAATAATTTGCATCCTACACTATCTTTGGTGGTTATTTTCTCGATAAATCGATTAAAGGTTTGGCGGGTTAAAAATGTGAAAGCGACAAACAAACTGTGAAAAATAACCATAGAAATTTCCAGAGCACAAGGTGAAGTGTTGAAATATCTCATTTTGTCTAAACAACTGTCCAAAAAATGTGTTTGCATTAAAAAGAAAGCCGCACATTCTCACATCGAAGAAGCTGGAACCAGATACAGTTTGACCTTTCAGCTTTAAAAGGTGTTAATTAAACACTAAATTGATTATCAAAATTGTTGTTATTTCAATAAGCCTTCAGTCATCTGACTAATCCGCTTATTGTTTCAGCTCTATATAAAACCATCAAAGCAAATAAATTACGAGGCAATAACCCTCTGGAGAAAATAGAGCATACTTTAAACTCTATCATTGATGGTTATTACAATATATTCACTACTGTCAACAAGGATATAAACTCATAAACTCATACAAAGTGTTCCAGGACTGATCTAACACATGAACACTATTGTAAAATATTCTTTTTTTAGTAACCTTTATCATTTCCACCAGTCTAGAAGACAACTGAACTGTATTTCCAGGTAGTAGAATGAGCTGCATGCAAGTGGAGCACTTTTCGTTCAATGCACGTTCTGCGTACCACCTGTAGTTCTCCAGCAGCAACATTTACAATTATATCTGTACTTATTAAATGCATGAATTTTCACATCTTAGCTTTCTCTTCTGAGCCAGATCTATTGAGGGGAATCCTGGATTCAACTAATTAAGGCTTCTTATGGAACAGGTAACACATATGTCTCCCTACGGGAAATAAAATGATGGTTTTCCTTGCTCTTGTGCAATACAATACAAATGAATACAACGACTAAATGGAAGCTCATTAAAAATTAAACACTCTTTGTCACAATCTCGTTTCCCCCAACAGCTTGCTGAAGTAGATGCAATTACATAACCACCCCATGAGGTCTCAATAGCCAGTATTTTACAGTAAACAACTTATGGCGACGATCATTCACTAAACTAAGCTGAAACCATGTAAAATAAACTCATAAATAAAGATTATTTTCCCTTTTTACGATATTTGTTTTACATAACTACATGAGCATTTTCTTCATCACTGTCGTTTTGAATTTTGCACATACCACAATATTGTACATTTATAGAAAAAGCTACAGTTAAAATATCACAAAGAGATAAGATCAAATATAAATGGTAATGTGAGGCAGAAGAAACGATGCCACGATTAATTTAACCACACTAGAAACTCACAATTAAACAATTCACATAACAACATAAATTGTTCCTTTGAGTTCATATCACTATCATAAGGTGCACAGTTATGTAGAATATTAATAATCTGTAACACTTACTTCTCTACCATCTCGTCTCTCGTTGTTTCCTCATCGACGGATCGTTTTTTTTTCTCCACGAAAGCGCAAACGATGATGTCCTGTTATTGTCGCTTTACGCCTCCGGTGCTCGCACCAAGGGACGTGGCCGCTCTCCACATGGCTTCTTCGGCTTCCATCTACTTTACAATCTCCGCAGAAAATACATGCAGGACATCGGGTTCCCACCAGAAGAAGCGCTAGGACGGAGCGTAAAAGGAACGATGGGAACGAATCGCTTCCATGAAATCCGTGCGTGTGTTTGGAGACATCGTTGCGCTGTGAGGCGCCTCAACGGGAGGACGCAGAGCTTTGGATCGTACCGGTTCGAGGGAGTATTCACCAGTGTGACACGCTGGATGCGCTGTGCTGCACTGGGAAGTGTGGAAGCAGAGAGAGGAGCTCTTCAGAGGCTTTCCATGCTGCAAAATGTCACACAACAAGGGAAGAAGAACATCTTACAGTTGAGATTGAGCAAAGCATGAACCTGTCTCACATCTGTAGCTACAGAGTGGTTATGCATTATGGAGGACAACTCCTGTTCTTTCTAGCATCATCCAAGAAGCTGCCTGCGCACTGCCCCTCTGAGCAGCCATTAAGGTCTACAGTTTTGCTCAATCGCTTTGGCTCATTTTTTAAAATAGTTTTAACATTCTCGAAACTGTAAATGCAATCGTCACACACGGGACACCACAACTCTACTGCATGTTTATAAAAAGGTAGCAACTCACCCAAGATATTTCGTTCATACTTCAAAAACCTTGTTATTGTGTCAGTAAATTGGCCAACGTCCCCTGATGCCTGGCTCAAGAGCAAACTGACAAATGCTGCTAAGAAGAGATAAGCTAAAAATACATTTGAATGTCATCAATTTGACTCAACAGAACCCTGCTTTTAGTCTCGAGGTAAACGTACAACTACCCTTGTTTTTTCCCCTGTTTCCTCAGGGGCATTTTCATCCCGTTTAGGGGAGAGAAGAGAGAGCTTTTTCTTGTTTTGTCATTTAAACTGTTCACATCCCACATCCAGGCAACAGCCTATCAGGCAGACTTCAGGTTGCACGTGAAGTCAGTGTCAGTGCAGTAATTCAATTTATCTGAATTAGTGAAGGAGTCTGTGCGGTTTATGTAGCTGATGTAAGTTATTATTCATCATGGCATGCAGTTATCAACAATACGTTCATTTAAAAAACCAAGGCTGACAGGGGTTTTCAGTCATTTGATTATCAGATGAGGTTCCGCCCTTTTCTTGTCCTTGTGAAGGTGTGTGTTTAAAAGAAAGGGTCTTTGTGTGTGTGCACGTGTGTCCACACTATTGATTTATGTGAGCTCCTGCTGCTAATTGTATTGAGAGACTTGCACAGCTGTGCTGTTTGGTGCTTTGATACACACACACACACACACACACACACACACACACACACAAACACACGCTGAAAGATGTGTCAATGAAGCTATAAAACAAATCTTTACTGTAAGTGCACGATGAGACGTAATGGTGAGAACAACCCACAATCTCCACTTTTGCTGACATTTCAGTCTTCCAGTAGCTGCAGTTTGCTGAGGAAAGAATGCCTCTTCTGCAAAAGACAGAAGTAATACATTGTAGTCTGCAGTATGACAGTAGTACATCCATAAAACAATTCCACACACGCTTGCGCTACACTTCTTAAAAGGCTTTCAATGGATTGTCTCCAGATTTCAAGAAACCGCATGGTCCAGCATAAATCAGCTGTAATTGTTTTCTACTTTGCCCTTTCCTACTTCCTTTCACTCTTTTCCTTTTCTGCCCATGTCTTCCTCTCTCCTTCTTCAAATTACTTTGAATCAGAAGAATCCAATTTGCACTAACATGCTCAACGACTGGCAGATTCATTTTGATGGTGGGGCGTGACTGGTTTTCTCAGATGTCTCCGTCCCTCAAGAGGTGGACAACCTATTCCCCCTTCAAATATTCTAACGTTTGGGGCTTTTTGATGCAATAGTTACATAACAATGCTGAATTATTTCTGTGATCAATTTAAGTATTTGCTTGTTCTCGTTATTCTTTTTATAGTCGCACATTATTAATACAAAGGGCTCTGATGCGCTACACAACGTTGTTGAATCTCCCCATTCCAGCCTCAGTCACATCCAGTCATGTCACTGCGTGCTCAAGAAGTCAAGTAAATACTTTTCATTTGTCCAATATTAACTTTAATGTCATCCACAGAGCCTATATGAACCTCAAATGAATGATCGGTTGGAGTGCTGAATTTGCTCATGTTGCTATGGTTACGGGTCTGCTGTAACTGCGGCATTGGATGCTGTAGTTACATATTCACAGCAAGAATTTATTTTTATTGTTTGCAGTCCTGCTGTTGCAGCCACAGCTCTTGGTCGATGCCCCTTTAGCGTCTGATATCAACGCACTGAGCTCACGCTCTCTCCCTAACCCCCAACTAAGTGGCTTTGTTGCCCAAACCCAACTTCTCGACGGAAGCTTTTATTTTGAAAATACACTATGCATTTAACAAGCGTATATTGACACATTACCAAGAGACAGACGAATCATTTTATACACATGAGCTCTAATAATCCCCCTGAGAGGTTGGATTTTCTTTCTGCTTGATGTCCTCGGACAGGTCAGAGGTCAGGTCAGCCAGGGAAGAGCAGAATTCATTAGCACTGAGGCAAGATGTCTAGATCGGAACATACTTAGGCTACATCCACAGTACTATGTTTCCATTTTAAAACGCATATCCTTTGCTAGGTTTACACTGAGTGCCCACACTACTCCGGAGTTTTAGAGCAGCTGAAAACGAAGGAGTTTAGAAACGCTACCGAGAGCTACGAGTGTGACAACCGACAACAACGAAACCGAGGGGAACCGAGTGAGATACGCGCGTTGATCAAATTTATTGACCTATGATCTAGTACACTTTTATCTGAAAGTGTTTAAAGTAAATTCGATGTGTGTGTGAGAGAGAGATCAAGACCTGCAGCCTTCCACGGAATTTGTCTGTTTGAGTACATAGAGGACGATTTTAGAGGAAGATCTTAAGTATCAAATTAGTAAAGACTACTGAAATACTCATGTTTCTGTTTACACCGGTACCCGCATACCGAGTGTACTTGAATAGTCATGTGATATTCCTTTTCAGGCTTGCTAGTATGGACGGAAATCATTTCGCAAACGATGCTAAATCTAGTAGTGTGGTTGTGGCCTTAAAAATAGCTTCCTAATGCTGTCATGTTTGACCAGCAGAACTACAAGACATCTGCAGTGCCCACGCTGTGGGAATATGCCAGTCAGTGTTTTGCTTCAGGGCTGCTGTGTAACTTTTGCACACATTCACATACTAGATATCAAGTGTTTTTAAACCATTTGAACCTATACAGATGCTGGAAAGTCATAAATATGAAATGTTCTCTCCGTAATCTTTTTTCCTGTAACTTCATGGCCTGTTTCTTCATCTTTTTGCTCTTCTAATTATTTCCATAATTTAGAGTTGGACAACACAATTCCATTTCTCATCGAGGTCAAAGTAGGAAGAAATCAATTGAACGGCCTCTACTTCCATTAAAGAAGCTATTACAGCCTGTGCCATATACGGCATGTAATGAAACACGAGGCTTATCTCTAAATAGTTTGCTATCTCTTATAATACTGTGTGTCGAAGTCACACACAATGGAGCGGAGTGTAATTTGCATCCATAGTTATACGACTTTGAAAGCGTCTTATCTATGAATATGATGTATCTGTGCAGAATTAAATTAGAGTTAACTCAACCTGACTGCTGTAAAGGAATGAGAGATTGAGTGAGGCTAAACTTTGTTAACCATTCAGATGACACTGTTACATTGATGTGTCTTCAACTTTATGTGTTTCATTGAGGTGTTTTTGGACAGAAAACAGTGTAACGAATGTATTTGTCTCCTTGTCATCTCATTAATAGTCTCCTCAGGAGCTATAACCTCATGCTTCTGCTTCTCTTGTCCTAATTTGCGTTCGCGTTTCTCACAAACAGGACATCACCTGCAGCAGCAACATATGGCTTTTGTTACATGACGGTAATCTCATTATTGGTGACATTGTTTTGTTAATGGATTCTATTACCATAGTAATGTCCCTTAATGTCACAGCAGAATGCCAGACACATCGTATAGTAAGCCAGTTTACAGTTCCCCTGTGACCTGTTTGACATCAAGGTGCTTACAAAGTGGTTTCTTCCAGAAATCTGATGTTAATTTTGAATTTCTTTTCTAGGCTTTGTGGTTTTAACTTAATCTATGAATATATTATTTTGTATTTATTGTATCTCATGATCAGAGTATTGGAGAACATTTTCTAAATGCTTTTATTCTCAATCTATTGCCTTACTTGTTTATAGATGCAAAGCCACACAAACAGGGATATTCCTGCTCAAACTTTGCTTGAAAGATATCTGCGACATCAGCAAACAGAAATGCTGAAAGTTGAATGTGATTAATATGATTAACATGTATATTTTATACAGTTGCCTGCAAGCTTGCAATGTAGAGACTCAGATGTCATTATATGAATTGCATCTCGACACCAAATCCTGCTGAATCTACCTGAATCATTTCTACTGAAGTTGCAGATTCTTCCTCCAGTCAGAGAATTATCAGCAGTATTTTCAGCATGCACCAAAGAGGGGCCTTTGTTGAATATAAAATTATTACTTTTAGATTGATCTATCATCTGTAATCAATACTGACATACTGTATGTGACTGTGATGTACAAGCCTAATACATCAAATATCATAAAAAAGCAGACATGTCTTGTTTGCAAGATTTAAAGAAAGGTTATACTGACACTCATGGTGCAACTTCACTAAAAGTGAAGTTCTTTTCTCAGAATAAGTGTTGAAAGGATGGCTGTAAAGATAACTGATGCTGGTCTTAAGCTTCTCCCTCATTAAGCATGTGTTCAACAATGCGTTGCACGTTCAGTGTCAGCTGTGGTTGTTCCACTTGCTGCTTCTCAATAGATGGCAGAGCTCAAAAAGAATAATTGTGGTTTCACAGTAGACAAGTCCTTCATCTCCTGCTTATTCGACTGAGCCCTGCAGAAATCAATCATTATGAACAACTGAGCGAAATGAACTCGTGCGATATGTGTGTACATAGAGCACCTGCAAACACACATACCATGCATGCATGGTCATTAAAATGTGAACCTGCTCTTGTTCCTGCGGTTATTTGAAGTACAAAAGTCTGGAGAACAGGGAAGGAAAATCAGCACTTTGTGCTGCAACAATAGCTACTTAAATGTATTACCTCAGTAAACATTGTAAACATGAGATTATGGTTTCAATCTCTATAGTTTAAAGGACCATAAAGCAGGGTATGCTTTAGGGCGGGGCTACCTTGTGCCATGACACACTCAAGGCTTTAAAACAGTCCACAAACCAATGAGTACGTCACGGTGACTTCTTATATACAGTCTCTGGTCTCTTTTTATTTCAGTGTCCAAACTGTTTCTTTGTCTGGTCACTGCTACAG